CTGAGGATACTGCACTTTGAACTTGTCGTGCAGTGACTCAATGTCATCTTTCACACGCTGGATGAGCTGTGTCTGGTACTCCCGGATGGCACCGCGGATGTGTGGGCGCACAAAAAGGGCATTGAAGCGGGAGAAGATGCGGAACATCTCATTGGCATTCTTGGCGGTTCCCAGCTGATCACGCAGGCGGGCAGTGATACGGGTCTCCACCCGGTCGATGCGCTCATCGTAGCGCTTCATGGCAGCTTCCCAGGCTTCCATGCCTTCCTTTGACACATCCAGACCATCAACCTCTTTGACATTCTCGTATGCAAGGTTGACTTCCTCAATGGCGTTGGCATCGGCCGCATCAAAGAGAACTCCGGCTACCTTCATATCTTGAGGCTCAACTGTCTCTCCAGGGGCATGCTGCGGCACAGCGGAAACCTGAATACAAAAAGTTAGGAACAATTTTTATGTGTGTGCGCATATAAAATAAGACATCTCTACAATAATAGAACATTTAAATGCTCATGTTATAATAATGGCAAGATGTGTTTGTCAGTTAAAGTGAGGCCGCTGACTGCAGCTTGTAAAAACCTTTCTTGTCTATAAAAAAAATAAATAAATAAAAATAAAGTATATCTACCTGAGGCCTCAGCACACGGACAATGACAGCCCTCAACTGCTCGTGCTGCCTTCTGAAACGTCTCATGTGGTCCAGGCGGGATTGGAGCTTCCTGTGGGCAGGGCTCAGACGCCACACCATCTTCAGGTTCTCCTCTCTCTTTCTCTTTACAATGTCCCTCAGAAGCACCTGGAGTTTCTCATACTCATCCTCCCAAGTCTGGAACACCTCGAAGCAAGCCACCATTACCTGTGCACACACAGAAGTTCAAAAGTAATTTAGGAGGATGTATAATGTTTTGAGCAGCTAAATGTAAACGTGTACTTCTGGGGGGAAAAGGCACAAAAGGTAATTTATGAATAGAGGCCAAACCACACCAACCTTTTCAAATTCCTCATAGGCAACGTGCATGAGCTTCCTGGTGCCCAACACCTTGAGAAGCTGGGAGCTCAAGTCCCTGGAGATGGCCTCAACTAGACGCAGTGCTCTCTGGATAGGGTACTTGGTGTTCCTAATCTTTTTCAGGTGAGTGAATATGGCCATCAGAGCCTGGCGAATCTTATCAAGCTCTGAGGCAGAGAGCAGGTCATTGAGAGGGAAGTCCTTCATCAGAGGATTGTAGTCATTGACAGTCTCCACAGCCTGTTTCAGACCTGTGAGAAGTAGAGGAAGCAAACATGTTCATTGTTGAAACTACTGTGAGCAAATAGAGTACAAAGTTACAAAAACTAAGTAAGTTTTGACTGGCTGTTACTCACCAGTGTCAGTGTCAAAGCTGACAGTAGCATGGAAACGTTTGCCATGTTTGAGAATGTCCAGTGTGAGCAGAACCTCAGGGCTCTCTCTCTTCTCTTGGATCCTATTAAGGGCTCTTTCCAGATTCAACCAGAAACTGATCTCCTGCAAGGCTGTGCCTGAAGCTGGGTCACGATCAAGCTTTGTCACCTGATGAAAGGATGGGTGTCATAGAAAAATAAACCCAGTGGTGAGTATGAGAGAAAAATATTTTCTAATACGCCCATTATATGAAATACCAGAGCACTGTTTTGTTTTAAAATTGAGACAGAAATATGAATTGGCTCTCACCTTTTGGATCTCCCTGATCCAGCGGTTGACTCCAGACTGCAGCTGGTTAAGGAAAGTTGGGTCCTCCACTTTGTCGCCAAAGTCAGTGACCTTGGGCTTCTCCCCACGCTCATAGCACTGCTTGGCAATGTTTGTGATGATGGGGTGGATGAGCAGGCTGATCTCAGGGATCTCAATGTTCTGCTGCAGGTGGAGAAGTCCCATCTCCAGCTCAGCAATCTTTTTCTCTACGGAGGGAGCCATCTTATCCCCATCTCTAGAGGGTGATGACAGAGATTTAAGTGCTTTGGAGGAATTTTCCATCAATGTCACTTTTACTTCTGAATGCCGAGTTTGTGATTAAGTTCATTTCACAGGTTTTGAAACCATCAAAAATGTAAGACACATTCTGACAATTACCTGTCTGCTTTGCCCGATTCGCGGATATAGGACTTGAAGAAAGGTGCGACAGCATTGCTGATGAAAGAGTGGAGTGTCTCGTAGGGAGAATCCTCACTCAAGGTCAGAACTCGAACTTGGGTTGATATGGGCTTGTCTGCATCGATGACTCCTGTCCTCTTGATCAAAGCCAAGCTGGAGGGAAGGAGAGGATAAATACATTCACAGTTCAGAATTAAGAGAAGTGGAAGCTGAGTGCCCTGTGGTAAATTAAACAAATGTCTTAAATATAGAGAAAAGGCAACCTCCTTTACTCCATATAAACATTTTTTTATTTTACAAATGCAATTGCATGCTATGGCAAGGCTGAAAGTAAGACCTCCCTTCAGCACTTAGGATGCATAATTTACCTGTTGGACTTGATCCCATAGTGTATGTCAATGCTGACGTTATAAGTGATGCACTCTTTTTCTTCCTCTCCTTCATCTCCAACATCCTCTGCGTGAAGAACAAACAAAAAAAATCAATGTCTGAATGAGTCAACAGAAAATTCATAAAACCATATTCTGTGCACAGTCAAATTAAATAATGATCATTGAATGTTTGTGTTTGCAAAATTCCAATATCCAGTTATTACAATTAAAAACTGTCTATTGGATGGAAAACTATTACTACTTTATCAGTGTTTACATTTAATTATCACCATATCACTCGGGCCGAGCACTAAGATATGCTCTGTTCTTAACTTATTCACCATGTATTTAGTTAGTTAAGGTCAACAAAATTACTCTGCTGCTAATGGTAAACAAAAATTAGAATTGGAAACTAGACAAGGGTGTAGTTCTTGTATGTATTTCTGGGCCGTGTTGTTGCAGGATGACAAGTGCAATTAGACTGCCTGGTCTGTTTCCATCCATCTATGTCCCTACCATCCTTTGCAAGTGAGGTCATGGCTTGCAGGAAAAGATAGATATCTGCAGATACTGCACTCTCTGCATTGCAGCATTAGTATTCTTAGTGCAACAACATGAATAGGCTGGGGCTGGAAAACCAAAACCTACAGGCTCAGCCTCTGTGGCTGCCTGGTCATGTGCTATATCAAGAGATCAAGGTTTAGGACTCATAAAAACACGAGTAAGGGCAAACGGGCCTGGATTTTCCTGGAGGAAACTGAAGACAATGTGTTCATTGACGCAAGCTGGTTCGCATGATAACACCCCAGGAAGGTGGATACAACATGACTTGTAATTATGACAAAGGATTCATTCTCTTTGAATTTCTATGATTTTGACGCTTATGGCGTTTTTTAATCTCTAAATGGGAGCTTTGTCTTTCATGAGCACTGTGCCATTTTCTCTTTTGAACAGCACCATTCATTTACTAACCTGATTTGGGCATAAACGCATTGGTAATGCTAACTTACATAAAATTCTACACCAACATAGCATTGAAGCAGTTAATTCAGCTGGGGCTTTAGTTGTATGTATCACACCTTAAACATATCATTAGATAGCTAACACTGAGCACCTTCTTTGTGTTATTGCTCCCCACCCGTGTGGCGTAGTAACCTTACAAACGATGTGATGGAGCAAGCTAGATTGGTATCGTTATCTACCCGGCTGTCAAATAATACTGACCCACATAAACCTTTAATTTAGCAAACACTGTTTAGTTTAAAGCCATTCTGGTGATGAATTTCATAGCTACAGACACGTTGTGTTCATAATAATGAAACACTGAATAAAAAGTCCTGGTATTCTCTTCAGTTTAGCTAGCTAACCACCCCTTGCTAAATGTACCTTTAAGTGCACTTCTTTCGACCAGGACAGTGTGAATTTGGGGATCGGCCAGAAATTTCCTCATCTGCTCCACGGCGCTCTTCTCCTCTAGGGCGGTTTCCAGGGAGGCCGGGGCCTCGCCGCCATCTTCCAGGAGCAGCGGTACCAGTTTCCGAATGTGCTTCTGCAGCACCGAGGTATCAGCGACCGTCTGAACGGCAGACACCTCCATGGTGCCGGAGTTCTCCTCCGTCCCCCCGCCGTCGGACATTCTTTGAAGCGGTCAACGACGACCTAACGCGGAGCGAAAGTGATCAAAGAAACAAGACTGACGTTGTGTTGGCCGACTGCAGTATCTACTGAGTGGGTCAGACGCTGACTGTCGCTGTCAAAACGCCGCAACCGTGGAAGTCTGATTTATTTGCGCAATGGATTGTGGTACTTGTCGTTTTTAAGAGGAGTATTTCAATTAACTATAGCCGCATAAAACTACACTTCCCACAATGCAGTAGATCTTTTTTTCTCTCTTTGTTTTTAACACTGTATCACAGACAGGGGGAGAAAGGGAGTTGTCTCCAATGATGTGGCTATAAATCCTCCTCAACTATTGCTTTTACAACAAAGTACAAAGTGATATACACGGTGTTACTGTTTCACTAATAATGTAATGTTAAGAAATTACAGTTGCTATAAGCCAATGACAACCTTTGTTACATTTTGACTGGTATTAGCATAACAAGTGCACTTTTTGCTGACTCATCCTGTCAAGAATTAATGAATTGCATAAATTTGTTATGCATCTTATAAATTATGTTTATTACTTCTACATATATTTATAAACCTAATCATCCAGATCCATCAAAATTAAAAGTGTTGTTAGAGCTTGGACTTGATGGATTTGATAATAAATATTGGATGTGGTGCATGGAAATTAGCTTTTGGGGAAGGTCAATCTAGAATACCATCCTATGTTTTAAAAAATTTGAACCTCTGTAGCCATAATAGAGTGGTTGAGGGGTAAAAACTTTACTCATCGACAGGGGAAAGCCTGCATTTCCATTGAATCCAACACAGGCTATTAAAATTATCAAAACAAAGCATGGCACCGTTGCCCATTGAAGTGTCCTAATGAGACCAGGAGGAATGTGACATAATGGTTTTGGTGTGGTTTTATTAAATAAATATCAGCATGAAGAGTTAAAACTCAGTTACAAAGAATAATCACTCTTAAAACAGATAAAAGCATTTCAAAAACAACATGAGCTGGACAGCCTGTACACCATATCCCTGAGAGCAATATATTTTCAATTTTAGAGCATTAAATTTGCAAGTTACATTACACATCCCACACACATACAGTAAAATGTAACTTCTTGTCCAGTATCAATAGCTTATCAAATGATTTATGGCTTAAATATGATTACTGGCCTAAAATGAAGAGGCGGCTCTTTTTGTGCTATGAAAGAAGTTTAAAAGATACAGTATGAGACTTCCTTAAGCCTGAGAAAAAACACCCTGCCATTCACAGGTTTGGCAAAATAACAAACTAAAGTTGCATAAACTGAGCTGCTTTTATTTACAAATGAGCATATGTATGTCACTATTTGCCAGCTTATTATGAGCTAGTTCACAGTGCATACCAATTCTGCCTTCATCCTGAGGATTCAGTCATGTTGGTAGAGATGAGAAAGTATAAATGTCATTAAAATAGACTTGACAACCATAGGTAACATGATTTTGGACTTGTCTCTAATGAATCTGAGATACCAGCAAGAAACAATTCTTATACAGCTGTTCTGCTAAATACAGACACGTTCACAAAGCCAATTCCTATTTTGCAGTCAATGGAAAAACTCAAGTCCTGCCTCACAAAATGACACCAGGCTTCCTCCGCACCTTAGGGGACATATTCATGTCAAGAGTAACATGTGATTTCAGTTTATAGGTGCACGGTACTGTGCTTTCATCACAGAGCAAAAAGGAAAAATAAAATTGTTGATGGAGTATATAAACCCCCACTCAACTACATTCCATGACCAGTTGATCATTCCTCCTCAGGGAACTTGAATTTAGCATAGACAATGAGCATGACTATGGACATGAAGACACACAAAGAACCCATCACGAGATAGGCAATACCCAGGAACTCATTCTTGCCCCCCATCCAGGACACATTGCTGAACACCACCGTCTTTCTGCCATCAAAGCTCAGAACAGGATAGTCTGGGGGACAAAATGTTAAGGATATACACCAAGAGGGGAAATGCAGAGATTTATAGAAAACAAAATATTATTACCTTCATGCTAATACTTTCATTTAAGAGCATTACATACATGAAAAAATATCAAGAGCCACACATCTGATTTTTACATTTACTATAACTCATGTACACTTACCATCTGAGGCAAATCATGCTGTTTAAGAAATTCTAATGTTTTTCTAGGTATCCACTGATGTACATTCATCTCAGTGCTTTTTGACTATCAGTAGTCTCAAGTTGTATAAAAATCTACAACTGTGTTTCTTGCATTGGAAAAGATCATCAAAAACACATACATGATGTGTAGTTAAAAGATTGGAACCTGGGCACATAGTTGTATGGTCCTTTAAGTAAAATGAAAGATGCCTTTGAGGAGTTTATATAGGCTTTGCCCAAGTAGACGCCAATCAGTCATGCGAAACATGATTTGCCTAACTCATTTACTTATGTCAGAAGATTTGCCTATCTTTTCTCACCTCAAGAGTCACTCCTGAGTCATTGTGTTCACTCCAGTCAGGTAAAAACAGAACCCCACCCAACCGGTAAAACAAGTTTGACTAAGCTGCTGTGGGTGTAAAGTAACATGTCATTTCAATGCCTGACCCCTTTAGATTGATATGGAGGTCTGTAAATCTTCCCATGTGGATGAAACTATTAAAACCATTAAACCACACTACTTTACTTGTGTAAAATTATCATCTGAGGATTGGATTATTATCCAGACAAATCGTACTCTTCCACACACTCTCTATAGCTAATGGCATACAACCATGAGCATACTTTCTCTCTTAATACAATAAGATTAATTTTAAACAGGATTGTTTCCCCCTTCTTTCATCATAAATCAAAGAATGTGTGTCAAATTCTTTAAGCACAGGATTCAAACTAAAGAAACATATCTGCTCATATCCTCAAGCCCCATCCTTTAACTCACCACTGCATCTGTAACATGTATAAGGATACTGTAGGCAATTTCAAGGGCGTAGTTTCCAGCTGGCAGCCCCAGTGCAAAATCACCCTCAGTGATTCGTCGATACAGCTTTCTGAAATTTGGCAGGGCTGCCCTCCTCATCCACACCAGGAAATCTTGGTTGATGAAGCCGTTGTTGGCAGAGTCTGAGGGGTCTAACTCATAAGCCGGCCTGGGCCAAAATATGGGTTTCACAGTGCCTGAAAGTCAAACGTTTTTTTTAATGATTAATGGTTTATGATTTAATGATTTCTAACTGTTTTATTAACCACAATGTAAGTTTTCATGGAATGTTTCCAAAAGGACCTCTTAACAGCTCTGTAGCCCACTATTTACTATACTATACCTATTCCACTTTACTAATGCCTTGTACACACGCATCTCTCCCCTCATTAAACACAATTAACCTGCATCATAGCGCCAACAGAACAGATACATGTTACAGTAAAGTGAACAAGTTACTACCGTTAAAGGCGTCCTTCAGAGGTGTGACAGTGGGGTTTCTGTATTTGACGTTGTAGTCTGTCCACCAAGCAATCCCTTTTCCATCCAAGGGCACCTGCTTCTTTGACCCATTGACAATCTGATACAGCTTGAAGGTGTCTTTAAAACAACAAACACAAATAATACTTCCATAACAAAGAAAATAAACTTAATTCCAAATTCGTGGGAGTCATTTTAAATGGCTTTGTGTACCATTGAACATGCTGTTTGCAATGGATCCACATGGTACAATTGGTTTGCCGTTGGCATACTCATAGGGAGCACAGGTATCACCGGGTTCCTGCAAGGAGACAGAAAACAGCGCTTTGGTTGCTCAAATAAATAGTTTGAAATCTTTGTTTGTATCGCAGATGGACATTGACATGGAGTACCACCAATGCAGCTTTAGGTCCTGTACAGTTCCAAACAAATGTACACTGAAAATTTTAACTGCACCCATATGTTTGACCAAGGTGACAACTTTGCATATTTGTGCTCAACTTTATGGATTTTGCTTTCGCTTTTGAAATTAAAATGGTGGATGTGTGTGTGCTTTTCAATATCCCATGTTGTTAACTCACCTTAAAGTACTTCAGGTCTCCAGACAGCTGGTTAGCATCTTTAGACACACCATACCTTCTGTAGTTCTGGAAGTAGTTGGACAAACCATAATAAAAGAACAAGGGCCCCTGTGAAGGAAAATAGAATCACAAAAACACAGCCAAGGGTCAGAGGCAGGAGTATAGTTCAACTTGACAAATCATAAAATTACTGTTTATGTATTAAAGTGTGCAAAGCTCCACTGTAACCTTAAAGAGACTGTCAATGGTGAAGTCCACTTTGCACATACAGTTCTTTACATCTGGGTCAGAGCACTTGAAGCATGGTGAGTCATTCTCAAACCCAGTGTAGTCTATCTGTGTGGCAAAGAACAAGAAAGGTTATCATTAATTATTGATGGCTACAACACCCATCTCCATTCTCTGTTATAGGCACCACACCTCTCTAAACTCACAAGTACACATCACTTACGAGCAACAAGTCTGTGAGTAGACCAAAAATGTAATCTCAACACTGAACACACATCCAGTCAAAGTTCTCTCCTTCCTCTCTTTTTTGCTGGTGACATTTGACCCTTAATTCTCTGCATGACACTAGACTGAATTATACTGCCAGTCATCATTCATACCTCCAGCACTTGGATGCTCCGTGAAGTGACAAAGAGAGCGACGCCAATGCCGATGAATGCCAGACCAATGAGGACAAACCCTGGGATGACAATGCCAGCGGAGAGCATGGGCTGCCATGCAGGAAGCCTCTGCTGAGTGAAGGCGGTGTTGTCAGGCCGGTTGGTTGATCCCTGCTCTTGTTTCACCATTTTCCTGTTTCTGTTGTAAAGAATGTTAAGCAGTGTGAACTTGTTTGCAGTATGTATGGTGCCTTACTTCAAGTTTTTTATAGGCTATTATACTCATGGAAAACATGTGAAACACTCCCTAATAAAACCTAGATGAACACTGAAGACTTCCCGACTTCTTTGGTGCCTTCCTCTCATTTTGGTTAAATGTAGGGTGATTAACACAGCTATATCTTACTTAAAACCAAACACAACCCAACTACCCTAAAGGCAACATGCAAAAATCATGAATCTTAAATAACAGCAACACCCAGATTAGCCAAGACCAAAACACAGATCAAATGATTGACTTTTGCCCACTTTTAAATTCGCTGGTTGAGAGAAATTGTTCAATTGAGGCACAAACATATATATTCTCGATAAAAAAAAATCAGAATTTAAGGCGTTACTTACACAAAATCGTCTCAAAATGGAAAAACTAAGGAATCAACAAAACATCGGTATGCTTCCCTGAGTCGTAGGCGCGGCGGAACAGATCACCTATACCTGTCTACCCCCACCTTCCCTTCCTACCTGTCCTGTTCTTCTTCCAGGCTGACGTCAGTTTGTCTGTAGGGCACAAACCCCCCGATCTGGGATCAGTCTTGCCGTTTTTCAAACAGCGAATGAAAGACAATTGGGGCGGAAATGCTGAACCCCAGTCAGCCACTAAAGGCCAATTCAAAACAGATTATTTTCCAATTTTCATTGATAAAAAATGCAGATATGCTTTTGTATAACATTGTGCCTCGCTAGACCAGAAATTTTTAAAAATCGACCCATTGCAATGATAGTGAGTAATAAATCCCCAACTTCTTCTTGGATTGACAGTTATGTTGACCAATCGTTTTGTTGCATGGTGTTGAGTAACATTTTCGATCTACCAATCACAAAAGAGTTCATTGAGAAGGGGGGACCTGCTACTGTGCCATCTTTGTGTTGACATCTTCGGAGGATTGAGAGGTAATATTAGTATTTTCAATATTTTATTCTCACTATTATTGTCCAAAGCAGTTGTCCTCAATGTAGAAAACTTAACCAAGGTTTCCAGTGTCAGTTTATGAGAACAGATCGATTTGCAAGCGAAGTCTGCGCCTTCTTTTTCACTCGGTCGCACCTGCTACTGTGCCACTGTTGGTGCTAGCCATGGTCTATTGTTAGCGGTGTTAGCTAACGTAGCATGGTCACGTAACATAAATTTGAAAGGAGATACATGTAGAATGGATTCAGATCTATGTTTGCAGTGCAGCTTGTGTTGCAACGATTTTAAATTGCAGTACTATTGTTATCAGATGTGCTATGTGGACGTCGCTGTTGAGAACAAAGCAACCGTTAGCTAAAGCAAGCTAACGTTGATAGCTACAGCATTCTGCTGCTAGCTTTGCATTTAATTTGCTAGCTAACGTTAGTCCATTTGGTCAAATCAATCAAAGGAATACTTACAGTTAGGGCACAACAAAGGTTTTTGAGTGCACACATTCAGCCATTTCAGGTTTTCTCAAGTGAGCATCCTCACTTAACAAATTATTATTTAACTATTGAGCACATTTATCAGATCCTATATGTTATTCAGTGGAAATTTGTTACCTCGTTTTCTAAACTTTAAATTTCATTCGCTGCAATGTAAAAGGCCAAAGTTTTGTTCAGTTGGTCCTGTTCGTAACAATATTTCTGGTTCTGTCTTCATTTCTCAGTGTTTGAATGGATATTACCAGGTGCACGGAGAAATGGGTAAAACAAGACAAGGTTACTGTACCATGGAACCCTCATTTCATAAAACCATGACATTCATGCACAGTTAACATTATTCAAATCATTCAGTGATACAGATATGACATTTTTGGGTGATGCCAATGTCGGGCACTATTTGGTGGTTGTTAGCCTGTTGTAGCAGGTGCATTCACTGCCCCCAACAGCAAAGTGACCAGTTGACATAGGGGTTTTAATCTGAAGTTTCTGATAATTATTAATTTGTATTTGTTAATCAAAGCTCTAGTAAATGAATAAACAATCTGGCAAGGATTTTTTGTTTTTTTTATAACTGATTTGGCCTATAATTTTCATTCTAATTTGTATTTTTAATTGGGAATGCCACAAAGGGTAGACACTTTTGTTTTGTTTGTTTTTCTCAGCACACACAACCCATTTTCATCTAATATTTTGCAATATTCCTTTTAAACATTGAACTTTCAGCCATTTCACTTAAAAAAAAAATTGTAAATTGGGCTGCTGTATGTTTCATTTTTAAGGGTTTCACCTTTTTCCTGTTTCCCATTTGTTCAGGAGAGGCCTCCAACATCTTCCATAATGCTGTCTAGCAAGAAGTCAGATGCTGGCTCCTCTTCCTCCTCCTCTTCATCCTCTGCTGGTGCAGCAGGAGGTGATAGGGCCCCGATGTCTGATGCCCAGACTGGGCCCTCAGCCTCAGCTGCAGGAGCTATGGAGGCAAAGAAGAAAGAAAGGTCATCCCCTAGTGGGGAACCTGGAGGAGCCCCTTTGCCTCACCAGGCAGGCCCTGGTGGGGTGGACCAGGACTCAGCTGAAGTTCGCAGAACGAGTCGACGAAAGCGAGCAAAAGTAAACATTTTAGGTTTCTGCACGCTTTGGGAGGAAAAGATTTTGCCAAAAAAGAAATAAGCTTCATTTGGCACTGGCAGAATCCTCTATATTCTAGGACAATTTATTTGATTAATTAAAGGATCAATACACATATCATCATTTAAACTTTAGGTGCAATATTGCACTGTATATTTAGTCACAGGTTCTCACTTGCATGCATTCGAAATGAGTCAAAATAGTAGAAGTTAGAAACACAATTAATTACTCTTTGTCTTTGCAGCGTGATGGTCATGATGTTTGTTTCTTACTCCCGGCAAGGTTTTGTCCCTTTTAAATGAAGGGGGAGCACACCAACCTATCAGAACCTAAAATGCTGGTTTTAATGATGCTTTTATTGTGCCTACTGTTGCAGGTGGAGTACCGCGAGATGGACGAGAGCCTGGCCAATCTGTCGGAGGACGAATACTACTCTGAGGAGGAGAGGAATGCCAAGGCAGAGAAAGAGAGGAAGCAGGTCATCCCCCCTCCAGCTCCACCACCAGAGGAAGAGAATGACAGTGAACCAGAGGAACCATCTGGTGAGTCTGAAACTTGAGGCAAAATGTCAAAGCATTGAAATGAAACTGATGTCTTTGCTGAAAATAGAAACTTAAAATGTGTAATTAATTTTTTTTTCTAAATTATCTTTACAGAGATTGTTCTCTACTGACATGAAGGCAGTTCCTGAAAATTTATCCTATGTTCAATTTTAATTCAGATTTCATTGCACATTAATGCTAGTGTTAACAGATTTGAGATGTGCATATTTGTTTTTAGGTGTAGAAGGAGCTGCTTTCCAGAGTCGTCTTCCTCATGACCGTATGACATCCCAGGAGGCTGCCTGCTTCCCTGACATCATCAGTGGTGCCCAGCAAACTCAGAAGGTCTTCCTCTACATCCGCAACCGTACAGTAAGTACCAATCTAAACACATTAATATGTGTTCAATGACTATGGGACAATAGTTTTTATGCATATCTACCGCAGTACCTTTATTCATATTTATCTCATCCAGCTCCAACTGTGGCTGGACAACCCTAAGATCCAACTGACCTTTGAGGCCACAGCACAGCAACTTGAAGCTCCATACAACAGTGAGACATTAAATTTAATATAATTTTTACTTTTTACTGTCTATTCTTTGTTTATATTTTTAAAAGAATATTGTAGCCATACAGAAGTTGAGATTAAAGGTACTTTTGTTCTCTTTTTTAGGTGATGCTGTGCTGGTCCACAGGATACACAGCTACTTAGAAAGGCACGGGCTCATTAACTTTGGCATTTACAAGAGGGTCAAGCCTTTACCCAGTGAGTTCACTTCATTCATTGCACTGATAAAATAACACTAGTCATTCACATGTTGGAAAGCAAAAACATCTTGGATTTTTTTTCCCCTCAAAAAAAAAACAGGTTTACAAAAGTTGTTGCCGTACATTAAGATTTACTATATACTGTGACAAAGCATTCAGAGACTATAATGCTTTGTAATGACACCTAATTAATGCTTGCTTGTCATTGCAGCTAAGAAGACTGGGAAGGTTATAGTTATTGGTGGAGGTGTGTCTGGCCTTGCTGCAGCCAGGCAGCTGCAGAGTTTTGGAATGGATGTTACAGTATTAGAGGCCAGGGTAGGTCACCAGCATGGTTTTTATTCATTTGTTATTGCAGGTATATTTGGTATTTTGTCACATTTTCTTAACCAGCTGTTAACATAAATATTTTTATGACTATAACACATTTATGTATTTTTATAATTGACAGATTTGTACGGCATAGATAAGTTTTCTAAGAGTTTAGTCGATAACCAACCAAGTGACTTAAACATACCTTACTTTGTATAATTTTATAACACAAGTTTTTATTATATATTATAAATTTGTACTTTTTCCCCACAGGACCGCGTTGGAGGCAGAGTGGCAACATTTAGGAAGGGCAACTATGTTGCTGATCTGGGAGCCATGGTGGTGACAGGCCTGGGTATGAATCAGATTATTTAAAAAAAAAAAAAGAATACTGAAGCCAATCACAATATTCTGTCAAAACAGCATTTAAATCTGAAGTCTCCAGTTGCATGCTTCGGAGGAGCAAGTGTTTTTACATTTTCATTCCACATGAATAATACATCAGTTGTTCTCAGAAGTTCAGTGATGAATCTGTGTTATGTTAGTTTGGAATAGAAACATGTACTTTGTTCTCAGTAGCACATGATTTGAGGTCATTCCTTTAACAGAGTCAGATAATGCTCTTTTTCTCAGAGATTCTGCAGTGATGTAGATCCACCTGTAGAGGGTGATATTGTCCATGTAGATTCTGTTTCACTGTCAGTTTTGTGTGTTTTGCTTGTTCAGGAGGGAATCCCATGGCAGTGATCAGTAAGCAGGTTAACATGGAGCTGGCCAAGATCAAACAGAAGTGTCCACTGTATGAAGCCAATGGCCAGGCTGTGAGTATAATGAAAAATCATATTGAAGTGAACTGAATTGCCTCTCATCCATTATCCTGCCATAACCCAGCCACTCAGTGTATTCTCATGTTTTAACAAGTAGAATCCTGAGATACCTTACGGGTGATTAAAACATTTAACGTAGTTGTAAAAAGGCTTCATTTTCTGTTGATTGTTTTTTGTTTAATTCCCAGGTTTTCTCGTAAAGCCAAGAAATTACTTCACAGCTTGAAAGATGGCAAGAGGCTAATGGCTGCAGAGGCATGCATGTGATTTAATCTAGCCAGCTGATGCTTGAAAAAATAAGTGCTTGCTTTAGTCTTACTGATGTTTTCAGCTCTACATTAGGTGAATTTCTCTAACAAACAGCTAACCTCAAAAATAAACACGCATCAGGGCAGCACAGCTACATCTGCATTAGATATATCCCAACTGCATTTCTCAACCTACGAACTTGTGTT